AAAAAAACCAGACACCCACTCCTTAAAATAATGGGATACCCAATGGCTACCTTCCATTCACACACATGTCTGATATTGTTCAACAAAACATTCGATGAAAGTTAGAATTTCAAAGGGAGGACCTGAAAGAAGGGTTGAGGTCTTTGCTACCATTGTGAGGCAGACTGCCTGGCTTATAAATTTGTCGTTTCCAGTATTTCTTCGTTAAGACACAAACCAAGAGCCTGTTGGTCACTGGAACCCATAAATTCAAAGTTATTATTGTGACTAATAATAAATATAATGTCAGGGTCATGAAGCACAATGGCACATTACAAAATGAATTATCTTGATTGTGCAGGATACTTCCTCCCCACAGGTCCAAAGAAGGGAATACTTAGCAACCTACGAGGGGGTGGTGGGAGTCAGTAAACAATGCTGGAGGCTGCCATCACAATGGAGCCATTGAAGCTTCCTAGAGTGGATTCTTTGGGGGCCATTCAAGGCTATTCTCAAGGCAGTATTAGTGCATATTTGCTGGGTCTGATATTCCTAGAATTCTCAGGTTCTTACGGTCTCTAAATGTTTAAATACTTAAATTCAAGCATTTATCACTCTTCAGGGACATCTATAGAATATATTTACATTTAGAGTTACATTATCAGAGTTCATTTTTAAAATATTAACAAAAAAGCAATCTATTTAAAAGTATTACCACAAATGCAATTCCTGAAGACAAATCTCCAACTTTAAGAAAAAATATTCCACCTGCAAGCTGTAAATAAGTGCATTAATATTTCCCCACAGTATTTGCTTTGGCTGTGACCTATTCTAATATTCAGTTGAACAAGGGCTAAAAATTGTCAAACCAAATTCTTGTTTGAGAGCTGAACTCTACTGCCAGTTTGAGAGAAACACACATCCAGGTTTAGGGAATATGTTTTGTTTGTTTTGGCTATGACACAGGGCAGAACAGTTTCCATCCCATTCGAATGCATTCAAGAGAGTTTGAAATATTGCACAATAAAAGTCATTCATTATATCTGTCTCCTTTCCCTTCCAAAAACAAAAATGGCTGCCCAGTTCCAAATCTACACAGGGGGCAGGAAGAAGGGAGGCAGAGGGTCACTGGAAATCACCCAAGACTAACACCAGGTTTTTCAGGTTTGAGTTAGGGAATACTTCTGAAATCTTCATTCCCAGTATATACTTAAAACAGGAAAAGACAAGATCTACTGCATTAGATTATCGCTCTGTTACAAACAATTAGAAAATGGGCACACTGTGTCTGTTCAAATGTTATGCATAAAACTGTACATTTTGCATTCAAGTGCCTGGCATCTGAACCAGCCTTATTTGAACTGAAAAGTCCTCTTCTACTCATTTCTCTATAGAGTTTCAACTGTTTGACACCAATTGCATATTGAAAAAATTACTGTTTAAATCAGACATTTGGAAGAACCTATTTTTGCAAATGCCTGATGCTACTTAGTGGTTATTTGATGTGCCTAAACAGAGGACACTGACATTTACTTCCTTGTTTACCAAAAAGCACCCAGAACATCAGAACACTGGAAATACAGTTTGATTTTAAATTGCAAAAATAGAAATGCCACTGTCAAATCACCACACTTAACAATACCAAAGTGTAAGAATTTTTTAAAGCAAATTTTAAGTAGGCAAATAAAATTATCAGATGTAGTAAATAGATGTAATCGTTACCTTTAAATTTCAGAGCTTAAAAATTCACACATACATTAAGAATTTGGAACTTTAAAATTTTCATACAATTTGAGTTTTCTTTAATCACACCTAAAACCAAAATACCAGCTGCTTGAATCCCTCCAGGCCACGTTTATCACAGAATGTAAATTAAACCATTTAGTTGGACAATTTGTGTGCCTCAGACAAACCAGAAAAAAGACTTAAGAAAGTCACCACTCCAAGCATTGGAAAGTTTGTGATGAAATCTCAACCAGTCCCTTAGAAAATGCAAACTTGTATTTTTCTTTTACATGCATGCTTAATTATTTTCTCTTTTCATATAAATGATATGATGCTTAAAGTATCAAAAAATAGAAGCAGTTCCAAAAAATACTTCTCAATTTCCTAAAAATTTTCAAAAACATTTTTAATAAATCTTTAAGGTCACACCAGGCATGATCTTGGTTAAAAATGTGGAACAAAAATATTTATTGGTTGAATGACAGTAAGTAATTTACACACTTTTTCATTTAAGTTCCTATGTTTCTTGTAGTTAGTATCACAATTTCATAAAAAGCAGAAAAGCATCAAAGAATGTACAAAAATGAACACACCAGTACAATATTAGACAAACTCGAAATTAAGTCACAGCACATTAGTAATTAGTCCATTCTAGAGCCAAATCAAGACCATACATTAATCTTCAAATATATTAAGACCAAAAATGTCCCTACTTTCTGTATGTACAATTATTTAATGTAATTTATTTTTATTCCAATTCTACTAACTCTATCTAGGACTCTCAACCCAAAGTCAAACCCTTCAGAGAAAACACCACAAAGAAACCTGGTAGTAGGAGAGGTAGAAATGCATAAGCATTCAAGAGGAGAAGAGTTCTTTAACATTTTATGTACAATTTACAACCTGTAGTCCAGTTTCAAATCCATGCTTTGTCCAGATGTATTCATAGGTTAAAACATAATGAAGTTAAGAATAAGACTTTAAAACTTTTATGAGACGAAGCCAACCTACATGGCCTACTTTCAGTGATGAAATGACATTTGGAATGGAATGTGCCTTTTGGATCCCCATTCCTTTAAAACTATTAGTGAACTCTGTCCAGGCATCACTTATGGCAGAAAGAAACAAAACATTTACTTGATCTGAAGTTGGTGACACCTGGAGGACTGATAGGTTTGGGGCATTCCTTTACAACCACACCTTGTGTTGTAATTCTGCCCCCTTAGAGAAAACTAGCATCTTGAAAGCAGTAATGATATTTAGACATTAACGCCTGGCACACAGGAGTAGTTACTGAATAAATGCCTGGCACATGTATTAATGAATCCATAATCTGCCTACCTGGAATGACCTGCAGGAAAATTTTCTCATGTTAAAAAATAATTCTCAAATACTAAGGTTATTTTCTGAGTAAGAAGAGTTACCATTTTTATACTAAACCAAACTATAATAAAAACCTCAGTTTATAAAAGTGAATCAGGCTTATCAGATAATTTTTTTGGCAATTTAATTTTGAACCTTATTTTAATTCACCTTACTTTATTTTCCTACTGCTATATAAAGTACTGTGTCCAAAAAGAGTTATTTCTTGATGCCTGAATCTTACAGCGATGCAGGGTCACAATTTTAAATAGTGAACTGTAGTAAACTAATTTACAGAAGATTGGGCTGGATATATAGGCACCCCAGGGAGGTAGGTTTTCTTATGTCTCTGATACCTTATTATTATTGACTTAGTTTCTTGCCCCCAAATAGTAGTGCAGGACTGAGTATAACTGGAGGCCCCAGATAGATTTTGTCGGTCGACCTTTTGACCTCTTCCCCTCGCAAAAAGAACTTTAAACATAAACTGCAATAAAGATTTACAGTAGGGCCAGCCCGGTGGCGCACTGGAGAGTGCGCCGCTTGGGAGCATGGCAGCGCTCCCGCTGAGGGTTCGGATCCCATGTGGAGACCGGTTCCCGCTCACTGGCTGAGCGTGGTGCGGGCGCAACACCGAGGGTTGCGATCCCGTTGCCGGTCCCCCGTGCGGGCGCGACGCCGAGGGTTGCGGTCCCGTTGCTGGTCAGTAAAAAAAGACAAAAAGGGAAAAAAAAAAAAAAAAGATTTACAGTAAAGGGAAAAAAAAAAAACCCAACCAACTTTCTTATAGTAATCAAGATGACATATTGGTGCAAGAATAGACACATAGATCAATGGAATCTAGTCCAAAAAGAGACCTAGACGTATAAGGTCAAAGGATTTCAAAAAGGGTGTCAATGTAATTCAATGAGGAATGGATAATCTTTTCAACAAACGGTGCTGGACAATTTCAATTAAAAACAAAAACCAAAACTTCACCCTCACCTTACACGACACATACAAGTTAAATCAAAGTGAGAATTAAAACTATAAAACTTCTAGAAGAAAACATAGGAGATAATCTTTGTGCCCTTCAGTTAGGCAAAGATTTCTCAGCACACAAAAAAACATGAACCATTAGAGAAAAAAAAATGGTAACTTCATCAAATGAAAATCTGTTCTTCAAAAGACAGTGCTGAGGAAATAAAAAGACATGCCACAGACTGGGAAAAAATATTTGTAAGAAACATCCAATAAAGGACTTGTAACCAAATATACACAGAACTCTTCCAACTCAAAAATGGTAAGATAACAACAACAAAAAACATGGGCAAGAGATTTGAATAGACACCTCAACAAAAAAGATAAAAGGATGGCAAATAAGCAGAGGAAAAGATGCTCCACATCGTTAGTCATTAGTGAAATATCAATCAAAATCACAATGATATACCGCTGTACACCTACTAGAATGGCCGAAATGAAAAACACTGACAATTCCAGATGCTTGTGAAGATGTGAAGCAAATAAAATTTCATGTGTTGCTGGTGGGAATGCAAAATGGTGTAGCCACTATGGAAAAGTTTGGCAGTTTTTTAAAAAGGTAAACATATATTGGGCCAAGCCCGTGGCACACTTGGGAGAGTGCGGCACTGGGAGCGCAGCGACGCTCCCGCCGCGGGTTTGGATCCTATATAGGAATGGCCGGTGCGCTCACTGGCTGAGCGCGGTGTGGGCAACACCACACCAAGGGTTGCGATCCCTTACCAGTCACGAAAAAGACAAAAAAAAAAAAAGGTAAACATATATCAACCACACATCTCAGGAACTCCACCTCCAGGTATTTATCCAAGATAAATGAAAACATGTATCTATAAAAAGATCCATATATGAATGTTTGTAACAGCTTTATTTGTAATAGCCAAAACCCAGAAACAATCCAAATATCTATCCATCAGGGGGTGAATGGATAAACAAAACATGGAACATCTATAAAATGGAATACTACTCAGCAATAAACAGGCATCAACTACACATAACATGCAACACAGATGAACCTCAAAAGCATTAGGCTAAGTTTGAAAAGCTGGACTCAAAAAGATCCATACTGTATGATCACATTTATGGCATTCAGGAAAAGGCAGAATTATAATGACAGCAATCAGATCAGCAGTTGCAAGAGCTGGGGTTGAGGGAGAAGGGACCAGCTGCAAAGAGGCAGGAGGAAACTTCTTTTGGGATGATGGAAATGTTCTAGTACTTGACTGTGGTAGTAGTTATATGACTGCATAAATTCAAACAGTCTGCTTAAAAAGAGTGAATTTTACTGTAGGTTAATTATACCTCAAGAAACCTGACTTAAAAAAAATAGCTATTTCAATCTACAGCATGAAGCAGGCATTATTAATCATTTTCTCCTTGTTACACCAGGTCTTAAGCTTCACCCTCAGTTCTCCAGCTTAAGTAGAAGTGGGAGCAGGGACAGAAAATGAGAGTGAAGCGGCATTAAGTGGCAGGAGGGGAAAATCAGAGACAGAGGCAAGAAGCTAACGTGTCTGTAAGGGGATATTTCTCAGTTAAGATCTACAGAAAATAACTTAATCATCTTATTTTCACTGCAAGGAATTTATCTTACAGACATTTTTGCACAAGCTCAGTGTGGCATAATTTTCAATAGCAGACAACTCACATCCTTTAATAAGGAGATGACTTTCTAAATTATAGATAAGGAAAGTGTATAATTCTATGCAGGAGTTAACGAGACTGAAGTAGGACAAGGGCTGTCCCTAATAAGACTGACAGATACTCATGGATTTTTGTTGAATAAAGAAAAAACAAGTTGCAGAACAGTACCTATAGTCATCCTGTTAGAAAACAACAAAACCATACTCATGTTTATACAGGAAAGGTCTGGAAGATGTATGCCAGTTGTTAGCAGCGTTTACACAAAGAAATTGGGAGAGGAAGGTGTGACTGTATGATGTTTGCATGGGGTGGGGGTAAAAAAGACAGTTGTCAGTATTTCCACTTTTAAAATTTTTTTACACTTCTCTGCTTTTCCCACAGACACATATTACTTTTGTAATAAAAATGAGTAAAAATAAAGGAAAGCCTTTATTTTTGGTTGCAAGAGCGACGCTGGCTTTCAGTTTATGCAGAGGAGGAGACTCCAGGTGTAAAGCTGCCATCTTCTGGAACAAATGAGGATCTACAGGAATAGAAATGATGTAAGTGGGAGGCAGGCTAAGGGTCTGTTACTGCAGTAAAAAAAGAAAGTCAGGAAAAAACTATTTTGAAGCCAAGTCTTTGATTTAACCATTAATAAAAAGAAACTGAATTAAAGCATGGTCAAATACAAAAACGACTAACATCACAAAACCTGAGGATACAAATGAGACTTGGTGGATAAAAATGTCTAAATTGCTTTGATTTTTCCGACCCATTCTTTTTAGGAAAACTGTGTCTGTTATTTGAAAATACCAAGAAAATATTTATAATAATACAGTTTGAAACCAATAGAACTTCTAAAGTGTGTTTATATTTTTAACTGTATATAAATGCTAGAAAACGAGAACAATTTTACATTTGAAAAACCAAGCCAAATCACAGATCAAAATGTTTCCCTAATCCTCATTAGCACTTTTTGAGAAAAACATAGCATGTGAAATTTTTACAAGTTCAATACAGTTGAGATCATATACTATCATACAGTAGAAAGGACAGAAATAATAGTTTTTAGCTTTCATATTTAAAGAAAAGTACAAAAATTTAAAACACAAAACCTTCTAACAACTTAGGTTTCTGAAAGCTTTTTATCTTTTCTTTTTAAACTACCTAGACCAAAAAGCTTCATAAGAAGCTAATTAGTCCTCCCCCCCCCCAAGTGGTATTGACTTGCCAACCACACCAAACTATAAAATGGGGGGAAAGTCCATAAGTAATTTACATGCAAAGATAAAAGAATTTTTTAAACAATCCACCCTTCAGCAGAAGAAATTGGGGATCACTTTGAGTGTTAATGTAAAATACATTAGTCTTTAGCAGCAGGAGTCCCAGACCTGCTGGTGCCAAGAAGGTAACAAATAGTCTCTATCTGCAGAGGGGAAATGGGCTCTCAGCAGGAGCTTTCTTCCCTGTTGTGTTATTTATAGAGAGCTCTATTTGTTAACATGTTTCTGCTATCATGGAGAGGGAGAATTTAATGATTTAAAGGATTTCAAAGACAATTGTTTAATGATACAATGATTTATGAGCATTAACAAATTCCAGATATATAGCAATTTAGATTTTCAAACTGCTATCACCAAAATAGTCTTAGGAGATACTGCAAAAGTTTAACTGGAGAAAACCAGACAAGTGATAGTACCTGATATTATGAAATAAAAAGTTAGAACCACTGGAAGATGCCATGTTAAAAAATGCTTTATGTTATCAGTCAACTAATTTTCCAGGGCCCTTTCAAGCGAGTTTCTGGTCTTCAAAAATTTTTTATGGAAAACCATGAATTAAATTCCAAGTTACCTGTGACTAATTAGAATAATCTGGGAATCCAGTCTTTAAAAAACTGCCATATTTTCATAAGAAACCAATCCCCTGCCCCAACAAAGTATACAGGAATCTCATTTGAAGGAAAGAATGCTTTCATATTAATGTTATTTCTAAATTATATATTCATTTATAATGACAAATTTTAAAAATTTTGTTTATTGGAAGAATTCTGAAATTTCGTGTTTAGGATTTGATTTTAATTTAACTACTAAAATAAACATTTCATTTGAGACAGATGAAGCAAGTCATCAAAGCTTCTCTTACATTTAACCCAAAGGAAAAACAAAGTTTGTAATTTCCATTTTTCCTAGTTGTTGAAATTTTTAACATTTTTTTGTCATTTTAAAAATAAAAACACATCTCACCCCACTTTCTTTAAGTCTTCAAGCTTATCTTACCTTCAATTTTCATAAATTTCCACTAATTCTATTAATTTGTCTTTTGTGAAAAAACTCTTATCTGGATATAATCAGTCAATTGTAAAAGCTGCTTTTTACCACAGAGAGTCAGGGATAAATGCGTACTTACAAAAAAAAAAAAAAAAAACCTCTGTAAAAATTAAGACACATACCATTGGGTCTAAAAAACAACCCTTTAAGTAAAATACTAATATAGCATTTACTATCTGGGGGGGGGGGGGGGGGGGGGAGAA